TTTTTTTTTTTTTTTTTTTTTTCAGATATTAAACTGATCAGAACAGATACTACACTCTATCTTAGCCAAAAGGCCGAGAAAGGTATTCTTAATTTCTTTCTTCATCTTTTTTTTTTCCTTCTTCTTCTTCTTCTTCTTCTTCTTCTTCTTTTGATTCTCATTCTCATTATGATTATTATCCTGATAATGATTCTGGTTGTGAATTTGCGATTCTGGTTCTGAGTCCAGCCGGTGTGATTCTGGTGAAGCCTTCAACCTATGGAACCAACAAACTGGAACGAACTAATGTTATTTTTCGCTTTTTGTTCTTTCTTTTTTTTCCCTCAAAGAAAAGAGACAGTAGTACATAGCTCAGGTAGGTAGTGTCGCTGGTGTGAGAGAAACATACTGAGAGAAGAATATATAGTAAAAAAAAAAACATTGCAGCTGTCCCCCATATGAGGAGAAGGGCCAGCTTGCATTTTTCTTTAAAACAAACAAACAAACAAACAGACAGACAGACAGAATATGAAACCTAATTAGGTGGGGCGGGGGAAGGAGAATAGGACGGGAAAGGGCAAGGGGGTAAGATTAGGTACAAGTTTACAACAGATAGGATGCGACTAAGGGCCATGGCGGCACAGACATCTATGCTGGGGATAACACAGGAGAAATAGGCGCAGACTCCGCCGCAGAGACTTTATGAAGGATGGAGAGAGTGTGGAGCCCGGGAGGTTATCAAGGTATACGAAGACATGTAGGCCTAAGCAAGGGTAAAGGAACAGCGAGTGGCATTTGAACGCACAAGGACGAAACACGCAGTAGAATGGGGACACTAGAATGGGGACACTAGAAGAGAAGGAGTAGGTAACAGGGATGGTAGTGGCTTTAAAAGCAAGGCTGTGGAGTTCTGAACCCGCAACCTCGTACCACAATGCGCATTTCCAACGAGTGCTCTAACCACTGAGCTACATCAACCGGACTGGTGGTGGTGGTTTCGAAGAATCTGATGATAGAGGCATGAAATCGCTAGGCTGAGAGGCGGCTTGAGGAGCTGCCACAGCCGCCCCCCTCGTGCCCGGCCTCTCCGGGTGTTTACCTGTTGCGTGACTGGGTGCTGCGAGTAAGCTTCCCCGTCTTCCCGGCCAACCCCCTATGAAAGGCCAAAGGCTTGCGGGGTGGGACGTTCTGTAGTAGTGCCCCGCCCGCTTGATAGGCGTCTCGTATCCCAAGGGTTGGGCTGTGGCTTTCCTTTTGGCTGTTCTCCGCTCCCCCTTTCCTCCAATGGCCAATGGATGTAAAAAACTTGATCGCCGGTTATAAGCAACCAGACTGATGCCCCCCAGAATAGAAAGGGCTTTGTTGTTGCTGTTAAAAAAAAAAAAAAAAAAAAA